AATAGCGTAACCAATGTGATTTGGTCACGATTGATTCTTGATGAAAATAGTCACTGAACAAGTATGGTCGTAGCATTGTCAATGGCTGACTATTACAAGAAATGATGCACAAGGAATGTCACATGTTAACATCTGATGGGTCTGGCATCAGTATCGGGTGTATCCCCCACGTGCTTGGATGACAGCTTGAATCCTCCTCATCATGCTACTGGTAAACCTTCTGATACGATCAAGTCGCAATTGCCGCCATTCTTCATGCAAAGCAGCTTCCAGCTGTGCAAGATGCTGGAGAGGGGGTTCTCTCAACCTCACACGGCGTCCAAGAAAGTCCCAGATGTGCTCCAAAGGATTCAAATCGGGGCTCATTGGGGGCTAAGGTAATGTCATGATAGCCTCATTCTGGAGATGTGCGGTCACAGCACGTGAACGATGCGGCCTGGCTTTGTCGTCCATGAATATCGGGTGAGTAGCCAACGGGTGGTTGTCAAAGTGAGGCACGACAACTGGATGGAGAATATCCCGGATGTACTGCTGACCATCAAGATTTCCTCGGACAGTCACCATTTGAAGTTTACAGTCGTGTGAAAGACAACCCCAGATCATAACCGATCCTCCACCATAAGGAACAGTAGGGTGGATATTCCTGGGCACGTAAGCAGTGTTTTTATGCCTCCACACTCTCATTCGACCATCTGTAACGTGGAGGAGGAACCTGCTCTCATCTAACCAGTGGACCCTCCTCCATGTCCTCAGGTTCCACTGGTGACGGGCCATACACCACTCCAGACGTCGTCTCTTATGGAGATCAGACAGAGCAGGACGTTTGATGACTCTTCTGGACCTCATACCAAGTGCCCTAAGGCGATTTCAGACGGTTCTGGTGGATAATTGTCTGTAGGGTAACCACAGGCGCTTCAAAACCGAACTTGTGACAAAGGGTTCTCGCCTTACCAGACGTGCCAGGCTGCGATCATCACGGGCCGTTGTCTTCCTGGGTTGTCCAGGCCTTGGACGATCTCTCACATCTGTCATCTGATGTTTTCGGACAAGTCGGCTGATGACCGAGTGACTGTAGCCCAGTTGTCGTCCAATAGCTTTGAAGGACATGCCTGTTGCATGCATGCAACAATTTGCCACCTTAGTGCTTCAGAAAGTCTTCTCCTCACCATTTCAGTATTCATTAATGGAGACAGTTACAAATTCTTCTGCTTTTATACCCATAAATTGCATGTCAGAGAAACTGAATTTTGGGAAAAGTGTGGGTTATATGCTTCACGTGCACAAGGGATGCGTTGTGACGAGTGCAAAGGAACTGAAACACCTTTTTAGACTACTAGAGATGTGTTGTAATACAGAGATATCATTCATGTTTAACGATGGTTAACAGTTGCTCTACTATCATGAAATATATCAGGGGGTGCTTAATTAAGTTCCAGGTGTATATATTATCCACTGTGGCATAATCGTTCCTGAAACCCGCCTGTGATTCATGTATGATAGAGTTTAATTCCAGCCAATGTCTAATTCTAGTTTCTATAATAGAGGTGATAACTTTCCCAAGGGTGTTCAACAAAGACATACCACGATAATTATTAGGATCTATGATATTGCCCTCCTTAAATAAAGTAACTATCATGCCAGTATTCCAACTGTCAGGAAAAACACCACTGTCAAGAACTTCATTAAACAAAATTTCAAAATAAGGAACTAATATTAATGCTTTTTTAATAAAGTCTGGTGGAATTCCATCCATACCTCCTGATTTAGCATTTTTCAGTGAATTTATAGCTCTAACAATAATCGAGTCTGGATGAGACAATCCAGTGATCAACAGCACGAGCATCGATCTACGCAATTGGGATACCGCGGATGACATGTGTCAACCAAGCCAGCGAGCCTGACCACCCGATCCCGTTAGTCGCTTCTTACGACAAGCATGGGATACTGAAGACCAATCTAACCCGGATCTTCACGGGTGTACCCTTAAATCAGATTGTATATGACAAGCTGTGGATTTGTTATGTACGAGTAACGTAAAAATATAACATTTTAACGCGAGTTATTATATCGATCATTATTTTTATATTTTGGTGGGTTTTTTAAAAAGTTTATTATTACTGGATGTTGTGTTGTAGTACTGATAATGATCACAGGAATTAATGTCTCTGTTAACTTCATCATCCGTGTTATCGTTAGGCCATCCGTAGTTTTCGGCATTTCACATCTCTAACTTTAAAAATTTAATTTAAAAATGTTTAACCAGTTGCGTATGTAACTTATTTTTTCAAATTAAAATAAAAATTTAGATAATTTGCTAATAATCTTTAAAATAACTCATGAGTAGATCGAGGCGCTTTGGTTCGGATTTATTGTCAATAGATGTGGATTAGACTAATGATTAGTCCCTGAATATATATAATTTTGATAGTAACAAATAAACCCATTTAAATTGAAAAGGAGCCCCAGTGAGACCAGAGATAACCTGAGGAAATCTAGACTTGCTTCATTTATGGCTTGAGCACTGCAGGGAGGGCTAGGCATTAGGGAAAATAATGTGGTTCAGGGACTGCGAGACAGACTAGATGTGGATGAGCAAAGGTCAAGTTGGCCTGTTTTTATATGAGTGCAAGGGTAAAAATACTCTCTACTTCACGTCATATCAGCCTATAGATACATTTGGAAAGCGGCAAGGAAATTGAAGTAAAAAGACCTTTTTTATTGTTTCACGCCGAAATGAAATCGCAGGGTGAGTGGGAGATGGGATACAGATATACGGACAGCTTTAAGAGAAGTGTACTTTCCGATCATCAAATTGTCGTTTTCTGTGTACCGTTACCGGCAATTTTTCATCGTGCATACAGGAAATAGTCCATTCCGCTTGGTGAGTCAGAGATTTCAGAAGCTTTGAAACCGCTGACTTGATGTTGGTGACAAAGCAGACGCTCATATACCGTGCGAGAATAGTAGGGGGTTAATGTCGGTCCTTAGGCAAGAAGCCGACTGAAAAAAAACCTTGGACCCACAGCTTTTGTTTTCTGCAGGTCCTTATGGCCAACAGCTTTGTCATCCCCAATAACTAAGAGTGTTATTTCTTGGAAAATATCATTCAGTTATTTCTAGTTTTTATCTCGATCAGCAGTTATTGTCTGTAAATGAAACAACTATCAGTTTTCGAAGAAACAATTTAGATTACTGAGATATGATCGTTTAACCTCGAACAAATATTTTTAGTTGTCACATTTTTTGGCTGGGAATTACGTATATTGTAGCTAAAACATAGGGCCTACACATTCTGATCAGGACCCACAACTGTTTACGGTTCTGTGTCCTTAGGGCCTGCAGCTTTTCAGGGTTAAAGGCAAACACTGGACCAAACACTCATACATTCTAGTGTCACATATGCCCCTGGAGAGCCAGAAGCATGTCACTGTCTAATGCGTTCCGACCCGTGAAGGTCCGGGTTAGAATATTGATTTTTAGTAACCCATGCTTGTCGTAAGAGGCGACTAACGGGATCGGGTGGTCAGGCTCGCTGACTTGGTTGACACGCCATCGGTGCCCAATTGCATTAGATCAATGCTCATGCTGTTGATCACTGGATTGTCTGGTCCAGACTCGATTATTTACAGACCGCCGCCTTATAGCTGGAATATTGCTGAGTGCGACGTAAAACTAAACTCATTCACTCATGTTGTTCCACTCATCAGCCAGTGCCCGACCGAGGTCATTGAGAGTGGAGGGTGGATTTTGACGTCAACGTAACCTTTAGCAATGACGTCCAAGACGTTTAAAGAAGGATAAAGATCAGGAATGAGTGCTGGCATGGTAGGACTTGGATGTTATGCTGTTAGACTAATTGAATATAAATTCTGCACCTGCATTATCATCTTGGAAAAGGGAAGGTTGTCCAGGGCGTTGTCCGAATATCACATTAATTATATGACGTTGTCCCGCTAGTACTGACCTGTGAATCTGTTATAGGCAATATATGGAGCTCAGTTCGGCCAGTCCTAACACCCGATACTATTGCTGACAATGACAAAAATTCCCTACTTTGTTGTATAGTATATTGTTGAAAAGTTGTCCGTCTCAATCATTTTAAAATACAATATAAACAGTTTCGTAATAAATATATACTCATGCCAATAATGGTTGTCAACCCCCTTCCCACCCCAACCCCCACACACCTCACACACCCACCCCACACCCCCTCTCAAATTAAAAAAATTGAAGGGGGTGACAACCATTATTGGCATGAGTATATTTACGAGAAAACGAGAAGGAGAGTTATTTGAAATTTTAGGGAAAACAGAGACACTGAAATTTCTGATCACATTTTTTGCGGCTTTTGACTGATTGTTCAAACAGGTGTTGTTAAGAAGTCTTTATTTTTGTGTAGAATGCTATGCCTTCACTATACAACTTTCTACTCAATAATTATTAGTTGGTTAATTAAGAAGCAATTGACAAGAACGACAATTTATGTTTCATTGTACTGCCTGCAAAATTAAAATAACCTAAAGGTTTGTTGAGTTAAGACCTTTGCGAAACTTCTACCTCCTGGACCGAAGCTATATAGGATCAGGTATTGAACCACTCGATAGTCTTTGTCGGAAATGTATTTGGAGAATAGTTGTTCTCAGGTTGTATTAAATGTAGAAGAAAGAGAACACAATAATATATCGATAAAAAGAAAACAATTTGCTTCTCCATTCAGAGAAGACTGTTACTGGATAAACAGATCTCATTGATTTTAATCATATTGGATATTTGCCATTATCCTACTTTATTTCCTGAGTTTCGAACATTATTTGACTAAATTGTTTTAAGGCGTGTAGCCTTCAACACATCTATGGACATTTATAATGTCTTTTTTAGGAAAAGACTTAAAATGAAACTCTACAAGTTCTTACTGTTCTTACTGAGGACAAGCACAGAACAACAACAATTAAAAAGCGGTCTCCAATAAAGTATGTCATCGAGAGTTATGTCCCCTTTTCATAGCAGACGAATGCTTACATTTTCAGCCTGATTTTTTCTAATCTGAATTTGACTGGAAGTCATGGAAGAAATTGGTTTGTATACAGGTAACGTAAAATATTATTTGAAAACGTCCGTTCCACATCAAATGATATTACTTCGGACCTTGATATGTAAGCTTGTTAGACGTTTGATTAGCCCTATAATTGACGAAATCACCGTCTACGAACTAGTCTGGGCTACGAACTGGTTCAGCCTACGGAATCACCGTCTCCCTAATTGACGTATTTGTGCTATGATTCTGTATTCAGAAGTTGGTTTGGGTACGTTCCCGTATACAGAAACATACAGTAGTTGGCCATAAGTGAGTCATCATTAGTGAAATTTCCATAGACTTACATGTTAATTAACTGTTGCAAGAATAATTTTCATAAATTGAGTAGAAGTTATTTTATTTTGATATTTTGCAAACATCTTGGAAATCATCTTCAGCTTCGTGTATCCATACTTTCCTTTCATCTTTCCGTTGATTAGTTATCGAATGACACCTGATTAAGCACCGTATATAAGTACAACTTTTAATCTATCCCATAGACAGCCATGTTAAAAATGATTGGTGTGTCTAATATATGTTGTTTAAATAGTTGCAGTTTTCTTAATAATCATCGGAAATTGAATGGAAGTTATGTGTATCTAGATGAGATGATTTCCCAGCTGGTAGATAAGTATTGAAAGCAATTCGACAGAAACTAAATTTATGAAAATTATTCTTGCAAGACTTAATTAACATGCAATTCTATGGGAATTTCACTAATGATGACTCACTTATGGCCAACAACTGTACGTGGGGTACATATTTGGAGTACCCGTGTACGCCCCCTTTCAAATTTCATCTTCATCGGGACTTTTAATTACTCTACATGTTTTAAGTTGATATTGTCTGCAGATTAGAAAGAAACTGTGCCAAGTATTGAATTTCCAACACTGACATTGCACCTCTTGTCTTTCATATTCTCACAACCGTATGGTAGATGCTATAGCATGGTATGTATATTTATCACTTATACTTTTACTCAATATAGATTTAAATGTTATAAGCATGAATAAAGAAAAGATATAACAGCCTTATTTCAGTTAGTGACTGACACTCGTCAGAACATTTAGCCAGCCTTTGTTGAAAGGGTTACGATAACTAATGGGACAAATGTTCACTTAATCTGTGTCAGATACACAATTTTACAACTGGAAAAATGAACTTAAATTCAATATGCTTCCAAATGAAACCATTTTGTTTGTTATCTTGACATTGTTCTCAGGATAAAAAGCCATTTGTTGACACTAATCCCAGATAATGTTCATTTAACGTTCAGATATTTAACAACTTGGCAATGTTAAATTCAATATGCCATTGAAACCATTTTGTTTGTTAACGTCTGACATTGTTTTCAGGATAATAACATCTAGACACTGTATGGTTTCATGTCTGCGACACTCATTTCTAAAACTGCTAATTTGAATTTTCTCTCCTGGTTGGAGTATGCTCCTCCATCTGAACATAACCCACACTCTATCCAGTCAGAGTCTTGAATGTTCTACACATGTTATCAGTTTATAGTGTCTAAGATTTTGCTTGGCATAACAATGAACTTCACAAATGTTAATTTTGACTTTTATTGTAAGGAAATATGATCCGTGTAATTTTTCCCTAGTCTGAAGCAAACTCTGCATGAGGGAAATAAGGACTCCAATGTTGACATACAGCTGATGTTGAGGAACATCCAGAGATGTCAGACGTCAGTGGAGAAACTGAAGCACAATCAAGAAGACCAGTTATTTAAGGTACACATGATGAGTGAGTGGAGGAATGGGTTTAGCCCTCAGTAATGTCTAGTTGGGAGACATGGGTTGTCCAAAGGGTCAAGCACAACGTTTTTTCAGTGCTGAGTTGTATCCCTGAGTTGTAATAGGATTTGTTTATTGTGAAATAAAAGCAAAACAGTTTTTGCATTTGGTACTTACTGCTGATGTTAATAGCCAATTCAAAAATAAATATATCTTGTATTTGCAATTATAAACAAACAAATAATAATAATTGCTGAATATTTTATGAGGTATTATTATCATTATTTATTCGCTGAATCAGTTGAGAAATTTCTATGTCCCTTTCAGTCTGCTCTTGAGAAACTTGGAAGAAACTTATGTTCCCAAGCAGACATATTGGAAAGGAAGATAACCCAGCTGAATACCAACCTCTCTGGAAGCCTGCTGCCACCATCACAACATCAGCCAGTAACAGCAACAACCTCTACAACAGGTTTTTCAAAGATTCAACAAGATAACTGTGCATCAGTTTCCTAATTTAAACTTGATTTGTAAAATGGATATGCAGCCAACTGAAAAATTGACTGTTAGACAGTCATATTGCCTTAATATTCTGATGCTATGTGGAAAGCCTAGTGGTTAAAGCATTCGCTTCTTACCCGAAGTTCTGAGTTTGATTCACTGCACATGGGTACAGTGTATGAAGATAATTTGTAGTGTTCCCTCCATGATGTTACTGGAAGTTTGCTACCTTTTGAAAATAAATTTTGAAAGCCAGCTTGCAAGTTTTGAATGAAAAACTTGATAAGGTGTATTACACTAAAAGTCTGTGGAAGGGGTTCATGTAAAACTATACATATATTTGAGAAGGGTCAGGGAAAATGGAACATTTCATAATAAGATATTTTTATGTCTTTAAACTTTTATGTCTTGAAAAAATGGAAATGGGGAGGGTCATCCTAAAATATGAAAAAGCATTTATGCATCCAAAACCTCCCCCACTGTAATAAATGAAATTGGTGCCACATTAGGGCCATTTCCAGATGTTCCAGAACCAGGTGCCAGTGAAGGTCAGTCAAGCCAGAAGAGAGAACGGAGATCAGCCATAGAGGACACTATTCTCACCAGCAGGAACATTAAGTTCGGTGATGTTGCAGGACTGGCTGAAGCTAAACAGGCCCTCACTGAGGCCATCATAATGCCCCTGCACTATCCACAGCTCTTTACAGGTAACACACTAGCTATTTTTGAATGGCAAGCACTATCCACAACAGTTTACAGTTAACACACTCACTATTCCTGGTACAATACACAGCTCTTCATAAGTAACACATTTGCTATTCTTGCACTGAAATGTATCCACATTCCATGCTGCTACATTGTCCATATATTGTGCCCTAACAATATCCACACTTCATGTCGATACACGACCTGTATGACCTGCTCCCAGTGTGCGAAATAGTTTCCAAATTTTGCTAGACAGTCGGGCTAGCTATGCCTGAAAGTTACTAGCCCGAAATTTGAATGTAGAAACTAAGCAAAAGATAACAAAAATAGATAAGAATAAGATATTGTTGGCATCACACGGGTTTCATCATTAAGCTGCTATTACGATGAACACTTTTATCAGTCCATAATCTTGCATGGTTTTAGTGTATTACAACTTAACAAGTCGGAGAGAGTGATATATTTTGCAAAATGATCCCATGAAAATTCACTAGCCAGTCGGGCCAGTGACTGTGGAGATATACTGGCCCGATTGGATTTTTACTAGCCATGGGCTAGCGCACCAGGGGCTATTTCGCACACTGCCTGCACCATCCTCACTTCATGCTCATGTATATCCAGAACAACTATGGTCATGTAGGAGATAGTTGATATTTCATTACCCTTGTTATTGCATTGTTTTTTGCAAGCAATTGTAGACAAAGATTAGATACAGAATATCAAAGCAGAATGGACATGTGGAGCAAAATTATGTCAATATCCTCAAGATCATTTGAGGTGTAGATCTGTTTCAAATAATTACATGATGTGTAAAGATAGAACTATTTTTTTGTCTTCCCCAGGAGGTCGGAAACCGTGGAAACGTATCCTTCTGTTTGGTCCTCCAGGAACTGGCAAGTCCCGTCTGGCCCAAGCTGTGGCAGCAGAGATCAACTCCACTTTCTACAGTGTATCTAGTGCAGACCTCATCTCCAGCTGGGTCGGGGAGAGTGAAAAGTACTTCTAATGTTCACTTTTCAAATCTGTCTGGATCATGTTCAATTTTTTAATTTTAGCTATCGGTAACAACTCACAATGATTAAAATCTATTCATGTTCCCAAAAATCTGGGTAATGAGCAAAATACTTGTCTTTTTGTTACTGCAAATGTGACATAAAATACAGTGAATGTAAATTAAGCACTGGGACATAAGTTTGTCTGTTGTAGTTCTGTGTGTTTTTTTCAGATTGATAAAGGAGCTCTTTTGTCATGCCACAAATCAACCTGGAAGATCTGTAAGTCCACAGATTAAGTTCTTTTTGTACTTCATGCATGTTTAAAGGATGTTTGCTGGTAATAGTGAGTGAGTGAGTTTAGTTTTACGCCGCACTCAGCAATATTCCAGCTATATGGCGGCGGTCTGTAAATAATCAAGTCTGGACCAGGCAATCCAGTGATCAACAACATGAGCATAGATCTGCATAGTTGGGAACCGATGACATGTGTCTTAAATACGACAAGCATGGGTTACTGAAGGCCAATATTCTAACCCGGACCTTCACGGGTCTTGCTGGTAGGAAATTATAATCACTGTGCAACTCTATAATCACTGTTCCAACAACAGTATAAGTCAATCTATTACTGATATGAAGCAGTGAAGTGGAGAGAAGACTCACATAAAATATTATTGAATTACTATTTTATGAGGAGATGCCTTGAAGTATATTTCAAAACATTTTTAACCAGATCCTATGATTGTAATGTCATTGAATATAGTTGTGATCTTGTAGGTGATCTTCATTGATGAGATCGACAGCATCTGTCGTCAGAGGAGCAGTCGGGAAGAGGAACACACACGCAGGGTTAAGACCGAACTTCTAAAACAGATGGAAGGGGCAGACAACTCTGGCAGCTCAGATAAGATATTCCTTCTGTGTGCCACAAACTGTCCCTGGGAACTAGATTCAGCATTTTTGAGGAGATTTCAGAAAAGGATCTACATTCCTCTACCAGAAAGGTACTGTGATGTTATAACTTTTACATATAAGTTGGAGTAATATTAACCTGTTCCATTTTAAGCCTGATAGTTTCATCTTAGTAACATCACTTTGAGTATTTTGTTATATACAACGAAATGGGTAGGAAAGCCCAAACTGATGCAGTTCCTAAACATTTACTACTTTGGAAAAAGACACCAAGCATGGTGGTGACACACCTGGAAACATACTTAGGGGGAATCGGGGATTCCAACCATTTATCATTAAATCGGGAGGTGGGACAGCCTAATAGTTAAAATGTTCACTCATCACGCCGAAGACCTGGGTTCGATTCCCCACATGGGTAGAATGTGTGAACCCATTTCTGATGTCCCCCGCCGTGATATTGTTGGAATATTGCTAAGAGCAGCATAAAACCTAACTCACTCACCCATCATTAAATCCTTACATGTCTAAGGGACATAAGTCTGCAGAGCAAAATTGTTTTACTTTAGATGATAGTGTCCTCAGCTCCCCAGTGGGGTAGGTTGGTGGATGACCCAGGTTTCTAGTAGCAATCTGTGCCCCAAAATACAAATAATTGCATGTCCAACTTGGCATTTAAGTTTGTCTCTTAAAGCTTCATTTTCAGTAGATTTTAGAGTTATCATGTGAAGCATAATTAGCTGAGCTGAACTGAATATTTTCACAGGTGTTGGGCTTTTTGGCTAGTGGGTAAACTGCCAATTTCTATGCATCACAGATTTTATGATGGTATTATCTGCAAAGTGATATATCAATCTTATAGTCTTAAAGCAGGTAAATCAGGGTCGTAGTACCCTGACGGTTGTAAGTCCATGTTAAAGGGATCACCTTGGTGAGACGATTGCTGTTTGGATTGGACTCCTGAATCACTGCCTAAAGATGACCTCAGATAACACTTAACACACCTTTGAACAGTGTTTTAATGATATCATAGTATGCAAAATGCCATAAGGGTTGACAATGATCCTTTTACGAAGGAATGTTCTTATTTCTTGGTCCCCAATGTTTCTGTGCATCTGGTTGTCAGGTTAGTGGTGGGATGAGGGCATAAACAAAACAGTTTTAGTTTTAAGGTTTGAACTTCTTAGTTATTGGAATCTGTAGCCATTTTCCATGAAGCTGGTCTTGTCAAATGTCAACTTTAATGTCTTGTAGCACATGCACACTGTTTGTGGTGAATATGAATATAACATTCCAATTTTCATGTGTTTACTGTTTAGGGCCAGAATAATTATCTGTGGCTCCCTGTTCAATGATAACCATATGATGTAAGAATATAAACTCTTGGTTGTATTAGTGATACAAGGCGGTGGGTTAGTTAGTGGTTAAAGTGTTCGCTCGCCATGCTGAAGACCCATGTTCGATTCTCCACATGGGTACAATGTGTGAAGCCCATTTCTGGTGTCCCCCACCATGATATTGCAGGAATATTGCTAAAAGTGGCATAAAACTAAACTCACTCACTTACTTATCAGTGATGCTCGACTGCAGCTGATCAAACTCCACAGCAAGGACACAAAGATGAACCTGAGTGAGGAAGACTGGGGTGTGCTGGCGGACAAGACAGAAGGGTACTCAGGTAGCGACATTGCCACCTTCACACTTGGGGCACTGTTTGAACCTGTCAGAGACCTACAGGCGTCTCTTCACTGGAGACAGTTGGCAAGTAAGTTCCTCAGAATATGACATCTCTGGCTTGCTGAGTAATAGGGACATATTCTAAAAACATCCTAGTGGTATAAATGTTGTCAGGCTGGGTCCTTCAGAGAGACAAGGTATTTCAGTAGTGCTTCTCTCATCTTAGGAGCTGTTAAAGCCTGAATGATCGACAGAGTGAGTGAGTTTAGTTTTACGTCGCACTCAGCAATATTCCAGCTATATGGCGGCGGTCTGTAAATAATCGAGTCTGGACCAGACAGTCCAGTGATCAACAGCATGAGCATCGATCTGTGCAATTGGGAACCGATGACATGTATCAACCAAGTCAGCGAGCCTGACCACCCGATCCCGTTAGTCGCCTCTAACGACAAGCATAGTTGCCTTTTGTGGCAAGCATGGGTTGCTGAAGACCTATTCTACCCCGGATCTTCATGGGTTGAATGATCGACAGATATGTAAAGGTGTCTTCGGTAGAAATAACCAAAGTGCTGTTTGTCAGGAATTACATCAATCACAGTGGGAGGGAGGAAAGCCGAAAGTTGTGATGTCATACAGTGAGTGTTGTGTTTTATTGAGCTTTTAACCGATTCATATCCAGGTACCAGCAATATATTACAGCCTGTTAGTTCAGAAGCTGAGTATTATATCATATCTATTAAACCACCGAGCCCTGTGTGGAACCACTCCTGCAGTTTACATTATGAAGGTCAGCAGAAAGTATTGCATGATGCAGATGTGACACAATAGCTGGGGTGGTAACTGAAGAAAATATTTGGGCAAATCTGGGATTAAAGCCAAAAACAGATGGATCCCGGCCGGGGCATAGACACAACTCAGTGAAGCAATCTTAGGTCAGTTGGTCACTCTGGCTCTATGAGAAGGAATGTATTCATTGTTGTTTCAGATGGTCAGCTTGCACCATGCAACTCATCCTTTCGGGGTTCTCTCTCCTTCACCTTGTCTGATATACCTCCAGATCAGGTATTTGTTCAATTATTATAAACTATTTTGACATCCAGTTTTCTTCTCCTGTTCTGCTTCTATGCAGTGTGTGAAGACTCACATTCAGAAATATACTATAGCAACAGTATTTTTGAATTTCTTCTAAATCCTTCCTGGGGGCTCTCCCCTTCACCTTGTCTGATACACCTCCAGATCAGGTATTTGTTCAATTATTATAAACTATTTTGACATCCAGTTTTCCTTTTCTGTTCTGCTTCTATGCAGTGTGTGAAGACTTACATTCAGAAATATACTATAGCAACAGTGTTTTGGAATTTCTTCTAAATCCTTCCTGGGGGCTCTCCCCTTCACCTTGTCTGATACACCTCCAGATCAGGTATTTGTTCAAATGTAATAGTGAGCTTAGTTTTATGCCGCACTCAGCAATATTCCAGCTATATGGCGGTTCAAATGTAATAAGATATTTTGACATCCAGTGCTTCTATACCATGTATGAAGACTAAGTTTCAGAAACAGACTCTACATCAGTATTTTTGAATTTCCTCAGGGCCTTTCTGAGTGAGTGAGTTTAGTTTTTCGCCACACTTAGCAATATTACAGCTATATGGCGGCGGTCTGTATATAATCGAGTCTGGACCAGACAATCCAGTGATCAACAGCATAAGCATTGATCAGTGCAATTGGGAACTGATGACATGTGTCAACCAAGCCAACGAGCCTGACCCTCCGATCCTGTTAGTTGCCTCTTCGACAAGCATGGGTTGTTGAAAACCAATTCTAACCAAGACCTTCACAGGTCGGGCCTTTCTGAGGAGTAAATGTTCCATGTATGATCAAAGTTACCGTGTCTCTAATAGAGATTTAGAGAATTACCTTCCGATTTTATACATGCCATTTTTTGCTCTTTATTCCGCCATTTTCACATAGATGAATCTATGATTGAAGAATCAACAAATATGTGGTATGGAATAGGTATAAAATACATGTGTTTTCTTGCAAATTCTGATTTCTGACTCATCTATGACCTTAACATATCTCTGTGTATCTAACATCACTTCATTTTCAACATTTTGTCTAGATTTATGAAACTAAACAATTTTCGGTTGACTTTGGGTAATGAGAGGGAAAAGACTCTTCTCTTAAATACCATGTCATTTTCAATATGGGCATGGAGTATATTTAAAACTAAAACATTTGTAAGCTTGGACACATAAAGCATGTCTGTATTTTAGTGGAAAGTTCATACAGATGGGAAAGACAAAAGCTCATATTCTACTGATTCAAGAAAGAATAACACCATATTCTGATGACCCTTTCTCTTTCAAAATCAGCATGTGAATTCATCAATTACAGATCGTCCCCCGAGACATCAATCTGAGTGATTTCCTGAAGGCTCTGCAGGCTCACAGAAGGACAGTGACAGATGATGAGCTGGAGAAGTTCCACAAGTTTACACAACACTTTGGGGAAACTGGGTGACAACTAACATATATGACAACTGTTGTCACCCTCCTCTACAGTGTAATTTACACCTCCCCTACAATCTAATGTTGTGTTGTCTTTGAAACTTTGTATCTGTTTTAGTGCAAGATTCTGGAAGACTGTGTGGAGTCAAATGCAGTTCTGACTAAGAGTGAGTGAGTGAGTGAGTGAGTTTAGTTTTATGCCACTTATAGCAATATTCCAGCAATATCACGACAGGGGACACCAGAAATGGGCTTCACACATTGTGCCCATGTGGGGAATTGAATCTGGGTCTTTGGCGTGACGAGCAAACGCTTTAACCACTAGGCTGCCCCTCTGCCCCTGATTGTGACGGAGCATAGGGTACATGTTCATATGACTGACAACCAGACTCTTATGATTTTTGTTTGCGAGTTTGTTTTCACTTTCTATGCAGACCCTCATCCACTGGACCACATAGGAAGTTATACTTCAAGAAATCTTATGCAATTATGACAAACCTGATGATTTAGAAATTAAACCACCAATCTTCCACTTTCTACATTTCTATGCAGACCCTCATCCACTAGACCACAGAGGGAGTCGTACCCTAAGAAATCTAAAGCACTTATGACAAACACGAAGACTTAGAAAAGCAAGATGCTATTTTATTCAAATATGAAATATATATGTTTATGTGATGATATCATAAATATATTGTACAACAAATATTATTATCTGAAAATAGAAATAAAGAACATTTCAACAAAAAATAATTTTAATGGATTTTTGTAGAAGGCTTCATAGCACAAATTATACAGAACAATCAAATTGGCATCTACCACACATTTGGGCTGCCAGGCTATATACAAAAACACAACACAAAACACAAAAACCCTGTTGTATAACATTCATTCAAAACTCGTTACAAAACGTACCTAACATGTTTTAGTTTATTTGATACATTTTGGAACAAATTTGGCAGACACTTGCGATGTAATCTCAATTTAGCACCTACAATTACTCATACTTTTGATCCCTTCATGATTTTCCTCATTGTTATAACCACTTAATCATAACTATCATCCATCCTTTGTTTTATATGTCACATAAAGCCACATACAACAGTGAGTGAGTGAGTGAGTTTAGTTTTACGCCGCTTTTAGCAATATTCCAGCAATGGGGGGACACCAGAAATGGGCTTAACACATTATACCCACGGGGGGAATCGAAACCCGGGTCTTCGGCGTGACGAGCAAACGCTTTAACCACTAGGCTACCCCACCGCCCCACATACAATAGGATATCTTCAGCTCAAAGGTAGCATTAACTGCCTGGTTGTTCCTCTATCATCAAGCATTGCCAGTTAGTGAGTGAATATGGTTTTACACTGCTTTTAGCAATATTCCAGCAATATCACGGTGGGGATGACCAGAAATGGGCTTCACACATTGTACCCATGTGGGGAATCGAACCCGGATCTTTGGCGTGATGAGTGAACACTTTAACCACTAGGCTACCCTACCGCCAGCTGCTTGACATCACAAATTATTTTTTTAACAAACCAAGTTAAATGGTGAGCTGAATTGTACTTTATCCACATGCCATAAATTACACTGGTGTACAAATATCACAGTAGTACTAAGTAAGGTACAGCAACCCATATGGAACATTACACAATACATTGTAAATATATGGCCATATACTAGGCATGTGATACAATACTGCATGTACAGGAGCTAATATTATAACAAGTATAAACAAACATTTGAAATGAAAGACAGGATGCATTTGATATAAAGGAACTGTATAATAATGTATAAAATGAAAGACATGGATGAAAACAATGTTTCTAGCACTTCAGGGTCAAATATGTACAGAAGATATGTTAATTGGAATAATTCATTAATCCAGCTAATTTGATTCCACAAGAGGCAAAGGGTCCATTTGCCTTTATCAAAGAATAGTTTTGACCCTTGTCATTTTAAGCCTACTCTTCTTTGCTAAGATCTAAGAAAACTATCGTATATTGATAGCCCAATCAGAAAATTTACAAAAGCAACATCAAGGATCCATAAATAGGACACTGCAATGGCCAGAGCCATCGGCTGTCCACACTGTGCTGAAATTTTAAATGTGGCTAAAGGTTTTCATCAACCTTGCACTTTTAATATCAGAGTGAATTTCTTTCATTTTAAACTGAAACAACTGAATGCTTATTGCAGTGACTGAAATGACAATACCTCAGTGTTTGATGTTACTGTAGTCAGTACACCTCTGTTGCTAACAAAGAGGAAAATGACGCAGTAATAAATATTTTAATGTAGTAATCAAGGATAAAATCTCAAATCCTGTATTACCTGACTGACTGACTGAGTTTAGTTTTACGCCGCTTTTAGCAATATTTCATCAACATTACGGCGGGGGACACCTGAAATGGGCTTCACACATTGTACCTATGTGGGGATTCGAACCTGGGTTTTTTGGCATGACAAGCCAACGCTTTAACCACTAGGCTACCCCACCGCCCCCCTGTATTACCTGAAGGAAGGTCATATGTCATCTGAAATAATACAACAATGTTATCTACTATAGTTTTTCATCACATGGGACACAATTCGTGTTGTTCACGTCGTGAACAACACTGTGTGACAATCCAGCCAACAAAAGTCGGTTTGAAAGGCAAGGGTAGAAACAAGATTTGATATTGAGCTACAGGACGCTTTGTCTGCGGAAGATGAAAGTGTGATCAACACACTATTATTAGGGACCATTCAATATCAAAATGTGTTATCTCTATGAGACACTGAGACACAATGGATCCTCCCTGATGTAATGGATTATTTTTAGCTTGTCTATGTCTGAATCTCACAATGTTCCAAAACAATTTCTCACAAGAAACATTTATTCACAAGGGTCCTCCAAAGCAGAGTACAGTTATCAAAACTGGCCACATTTTGGTGACTGCCCTATTTACTCTGAAACAGCACTGAGGTTCAAGAAATATAACCAGGCCTTAGAATTAACAACAACAAAATCTACATTTTTGCTTTGTCCCATTTTAAATAAACTCATTACACAAGTACTGGCAATGTAAGCTGCATACAAAGACACTTACTGAGCATTTTGTTGTGAAAATATAGTTCAAACATGTGTACAAAAATGTATTGAGTATTTGTCATGAAGGTACTATTTGGTGTAAACAGTAGCATAATATCAAGGGCACTGTGAAAAGGTGGAGGGATGAATGTTATTTTATGCCACAGTTAGCAATATTTCACAGAAGTCATGGTGGCCAATGAATAATCAACCATGCTTTTAACAAACAGAAGGTTGACAGCATGAGCATTGATCTATATAAGAGTGAGTGAGTGAGTTCAGTTTTACGCCGCTTTTAACCCTATTCCAGCAATATCACGGCGGGGGAAACCAGAAATAAGGCTTCACACATTGTACCCAGGTGAGGAATCGAACCCGGGTCTTCGGCGTGACGAGCAAACGCTTTAAACACTAGGCTACCCCACCGCCCCGATCTATATAAGAAGGCAAGATGACCTATAATCACTGAACCCTCTTGAGATAATACACTGGACAACATTCATACGTGGCAGTTCCACTGTAGCAAATAATAAGTGAGTGAGTATGTTTTTACACCGCTTTTAGCAATATTGTGGCAATATCACGGCAGGGGACACCTGAAATGGGCTTCACACACTGGAGCCAAACCCAGGTACCCAGCGAGATGAGGAAACACTTTAACAACCGGCTACCTGTATGTGCCTGTAGCAAACAGTATAGGCACCATTAAATACAAGCCTACCATATCATCCATCAGTTTACTAATAAACAAGAAACAGAAAACAGTAATTCATTACTATAGCACCAGGTGTCTGCTGGCTGTCCAGTGGTACTCAATACAAAATACGGGCTGAATTGTTGACCAATTATTGTTCAAGGATATAAGGAGACTATCTTTACAACAAGGCGAAAACACCCCAACATAACACACACTTATAGGAATAGCCATGTTATATAAAGCCAGATACTACTGGGTACTACTTGGTTTGTGAGTCCTGTTGTGAGATGACAATATAAGACAATACCCTCCAGTAATTAAAGATACATATGACGGCGTGATATAACAGTTTAAGTTGTCTGAGTATCATCATGTATTGAGTATTATTATTGGTTGTTGTTCCATGCTGCACTCTGCAATATTCCAGCTACATGATGGCAGTCTGTAAATAACAGGCTGAACCAGTCAATCCAGTGATTGAAATCATGAGCCAGTGACCTAATTTGGTATACAATGACATCAACCAGTTTGAGCCTGACCACCCGATCCTATTGCTTACCTCTTACAACATTGGTTGCTGAAGGCCAATTCTAAGCCAGGTTATCACAGGGCTTTGAGTATTATTAATGTGGAAGGACAGTGACAAAGGTCTTAGCTATATATATATCACTGATGAGGATATGCATGTATTGTATGGTAGTGACAGTGGATCAAGGCGATTGCGGAGGGTCAAACCAGCTACGGAACTCCCATCAATGTTATATCACAGCTACGTCTGCTATGGTGAAAAAGTGTGACTACATTCTCAATTTCTCAATCCATGTCATTGCAATATTTTGTCTGATACACTCTGATTGATCCATCGCAGTCACACATTCACCACGTTTTGGTCCATCCTCATCATGAACACTTCAGTAGGGATGCCAAAGAAAGCACCTGTTCTTGTCTCCAGGTCCTAGACGTGTTTGTTGCCTTGTTGGTCGATCTGTACCACAGTTCATTAGAATATATAGTCGACTGGCCCGATGCTGCTTGTTTGAAACAGGATTAGTAATACGAATGCTCCGAGCACTAGGATGGATATGACGTAAGATGGCTGGATTGGAATGTGGAATAACTTGGCCTGAAACAAGGGAGGATATTACAAGGACTTGCAACACTAAGTTGGTTGGCTATTGCCACAGCAGTTGCAGTTTGAAGTCAGTTAACAGATAACATGGATGAAAAAGAAAGTGAGTGAGTGAGTGAGTGAGTAGTGCTGATTTTCTTCTGTCTGCAACATCATGCATGTACTTCAGAACTTCTTGTGACTGTTTAGGAACAAAAATGGAACATATGTCTTCAGCCCAAAGAAACTGATGAGTAATGGTGTTATGTTTTCAATATGGCAACCGTGACGGCCATGTTGAAATCGAAATTCCACCGCCTTTGACAATTATTGGTGGAGTGTGTTAAAGTACTGTCGGAAACAGAAAAAAACTGTTTTTAGGCTGTTACTCTGTATCACTAAAATTTACACAATTGCAAATAGCATATGTCGAAATAACCCACATCGGCCTAATTGGGCGTTCAGGGGGATGCGTAATAGGATATCCAGAAAAGCATGTGTACTTGTAAAATCGGGCAAAAGATACGAATAGCTGCTGAAAACAATAGATCAGACTATAGATAGCAATTAGGATGCTCAGTCGGGTATGACGACGGACCGTCGACTCACATGGCATAAAATGCATGAGCTGCCCATAGGCACAAGGGGTCATCTCAAAGATATTTTATATTTTTTTATGTGTATTGAATATGTCTCTATTGATTATCTTATCTTAGCTTATATCAGTTCCCCCAACCACCGTCTGTGACACCTGTCCTGATTTTGCTTTTGAGATGACCCCTCCTACCTGTTTCTTTTTATAGTGATAGTGAGATGCCATGGTAGCTACATCCTTAATAGTTTCAGTATTAAAGTTATTATTTTTTACGTCTGCTATCGTTTATAACTAAGCTAATTCTAATTTCAAAATGATCATTTAAAAAGTGTCCTTTGTAATACAATATCATTGCACACTAATTTGCATAAAGCCATGGTCTGTTCTGAATAAGTCGCATTGGACTTAGAAAAAAACACATAGCTTATTTCTGCACTAAACTCTCCTCAGTAAAATCCTTCTTTTACGTTTCCTATCTCCCTCCCACTGCGACTGTAGTTAGTTTAACAGATATTCCACACTTTCACATATTAACTACCTAAATTGTAGATATAAATATGAAAAACATTTTTTTTCTATTTCCGACAGTACTTTAGTGAGTTTAGTTTTACGCTTCTTTTAGCTATATTCCAGCAATATCACAGCAAGGGACACCAGAAAGGGGCTTCACACATTGTACCCAATGTGGGGAATCGAACCTGGGTCTGTGTGACAGGTGAACGCTATAACCACTGGACTACCCCACCACCCCATTATTGGTGGAAATATCAACTGATCCATTGCTTTTTGAATTGAAGAAGATGTTTACGTTGGACAGATTACAATGGATGCAGGACACACAGCCCATAACGTAAGCTCACTTGACATTCAGTCTGTGGAGCAACAAAATGAAAAAGAGTCTGAGTTGGGTTTTACGCTGCTTTGAGCAATATTCCAGCAATATCACGGTGGGGGACACCAGAAATGGGCTTCACACATTGGACGTATGTGGGGAATCAAACCCGGGTCTTTGGCATGACGACCGAACCACTAAGCTACCTCACCGCCCCAAATGAAAGAGAACTTGGCATTGTTGCACCTTTAAAGTTAAGCAGTAGATAAAAACGAACATGCTGTACCTTGAGGTTTGTGTGGCCAACAAACAACAGGAATGAGTCCAGATCTAGCTGCGAGTTGTTCTTGTAACCAAACACTCGCATCTCCAGAGAGATTTTCTTTATTCTCCGACATACAGAGTTCACTCGAGCTGCCTGCACACAAACCAAATCAGCAAGTTAAAAACCAAACCAGGGAAGACTTCTGTCAGTCTTGGTTAAATCTTTAGGCAAAAAACAACATACAGGACCTAGTTATCTGAATATGTGATAGGTAGTGTTCTCTTGTTGACCTCACTGTTTAACATATATACTAACTATTCATAATAATAATCAGTTTTATTACCTTCAAGGGCGAATATATTGGTTCATATTTTTCATATGATGCCCTAGGGCAAAGTATCACTTTGTCATGAACAATGCTATGATGTCAAGTTTCTTCTATGGCGTTGTGTTCTACATGCAGCGACGGCCGGTAGCCAGCCTATGTTTGAAAGAAGATTTGGGTATATTTTCCTCAATTTGACGACTTTGGTAATAAATAGAATATTGTATTCATGCCCATATGAAACTATGTTTACGACACTCATGCCTAAATATCGGTATATCCCTCGCTCTTGCTTGGGAAAGACCAACATTTAGGCACACGGATCGTAAACATAGTATGACATGGGCACTCATATAACATCCTCTATTTATCAGATGTGTTTAGATTTATTAAGAGAATCAGTTTTGTGCAATCATTTTGCAATCAGACGTGCAATAATTTATATTGCATGTATCAATATGTGAGGTCAGCATGCAAATTTGAAGTGGATGGACTATGAAAATGTTTTTGAGACAATGCTATATCTGGTCATTTTGTAAACGAACTTATTACTACAACCGTCTTCTTGTTTGAATCTAATGGATCAATATGTGATATGGCATTGTGTATTAATATGTGAATCAATCAAATTATCTGATACCATTGTCTGCCATTTCATTAAAATCATATCTTTGACATATTATAAGTGAGCTGGAATAGGGTTCTAATTCAAGAATGAGTGGCGAATGTGAGTGAATTTAGTTTGATACTGCTTTTAGCAATATTCCAGCAATATCACGGCAGGGACATCACAAACAGACTTCACACAAGCGCCATGTTGGGAATTGACCTCAGGTCTTCGGCGCGACAAGCGAACGCTTTAACCACTAGGCTAACCTACCGCCATCCACTTCAGGAATGTATACATATTGATGTGTATGTGCATGCTAGTACAGGTCCATCCTTAAGCTGGTTTCATAGCTCTAGCCCATGGAGATACTAGGGTGCAGTTGAACATTGGCGTCACTTAGAGACGGTATACTGATGACAGTTGATCAGCATGTGTTATGTTGGTTTGTTTGTTGTTTAACGCCACACCCCAGCAATATTCCAGACATATAATGGGGGTCTGTAAATAATTGAGTCTGGACCAGACAATCAAGTGAGCATCCATCTAAGCATGCATCAATCAGCGAGCCTGACCACCCGATCCCGTTAGTCGCCTCTTACGACAAGCATGGGTTACTGAAGACCAATTCTAACCCGGATCTTCATGGGTACCGAATGTAAGGCAGATAAATGACGAGTACCAAATTTTAATATCATTTGTTATGACACAGCAAGATATCTAACCACAGACAGTCCGCCCTGTAAGTGCTTAATCCACAATGGAGGCGGTCTAATCTATAGATTGTTACACATAGGAAGCCTTAGTACCTGAAACAAGGGAAAACTGAGCATCATGGCCCAGATGACAGGAAATATACTCCTGTAGGTCCACACCTTTACTATGTTATACTTGTTTAGGGCCAGGATACTTATACCTGAAACAGGAACCAGCATTAGTTATAATTATCAACAGAATAGCACTATACAACATATCACATGAATTCAAGGGTAATATTAGATAGAGAGGTGAAGTGAAATAGGATTTAACGTTGTGCTTGAGAATATCTCGCTCATATGACGATCTGTATGTGTATGTGCGGCTGCTTGTACTAGCCCAGACTTAAGCTGGTTTTATAGTGCTAGCCCACTGAGATACCATGCCGCAGTTAAACTGAAACATGACTTTCTCCTTGGTATTGTGTTGGAAAAGTTGGCATAAAGGTTATATTTTATGAATGCTTCTATTAGTGTATACCTGTGATAATCTGTCTCACAGTCCCTGAACCACATACTATCCCTACTACCTAGCCCTCCCTGCAATGCTAAATGCTAAAGTCCTTAATGAAGCAAGTCTAGATTTCACCAGGTTTTGAAAATCCAATCTCACTGGGGATTCTTTTCAATTTAAATGGGTATATTTGTTACTATCAAAAATGTAATTTTTCAAGTAAAATTGATATTTTTATACTTATCCTGACTCATGATCTTTTGCTTATCTCCCTTTCCTTGCGAATGGTAGTGGAACACTTGAATCCCTTGAAGTTCCCGACGCGGAGGTAAAAATACACTCACCTCCCTTTGCCCCTTTCCAGCGCAAACTGTCATGTGACCAGCCTTACTTGTCACTCTCTCCTGATTTTCTGCCCATGCACTTGGATCTGCTGTGAAATCCGAAGTGTTTCCAGCGGGAAGGTTGGGACGGTTTCTCGTCATGAGTCAGGACAAGTATATAAATATCAATTTTACTTGAAAATTACATATATTGTCTTATCCTGACACATGATCTTCTTCTTATAGAATCCGACTTTGTGGATTCAACAGCTGTCCTTAGATACGTCCTGTATCCCCCCCATGGAAACTGCGAAACGGCATTTCCGAGATCCTATTCTTCCAACTTCCATTATAACTCGGAGGGACCATTTTCTTGTCTTACTTCAGTCTCAGACAAGTTGAATCATGTGGCTACAGATAAACTAGTATCTTCTTATTACTAGATATCTTATAACAACCCATAGATTATGATAGGATCTTTATCAAATATGAGTTGCGACCCCTTCACGTACAGGTAAGATCTTTACCCGGAAAGGATCTTTAATCACTCATGCTAGCCTGTCCTAGACTGTGCGCATGGACTTTCAAACTAATACTTTTCCTTAGTAAAAGTCAACGTGATAAAGGGTGAGATTTTCCAAGTCAGCGCCTTTGTGGAACTGTTAGTTGCTGTGCTACAACGAGAGGCTCAAACTGGTGAATGCCTGAGACATCTTCAGTGGCTATGTCTCGGAGGTAGTGGTTGGCAAACACCTGTCTGACTTCCAAAAGCAGCCCTCCAGTGTTGACGCCAGTGCTCTGACTTCATGTGGGTTGGAAGCCCTAGGAGGTTCTAGTCCTGCTGCTTTATAGGCTCTCAATATGACGGCTCTCAACCAGAACGATATCGTCGTTCTTGAGACTTCTGCTGATGTCTCTGTGGATAATGGGATGAACAGGCGCTTGAATTTTCGTCTCCTTGTCTTAGTCTTTCGAAGATATATCTTCGGGGCTCTGACCGGACACAAGGATAGGTCCTCTATATCATCTGGTCAAAGGATTGTAGCTAACGCTGGTACGTGGAACTGTCTATCTGGCTGACCAGGTAGTTGGTTCTTGGCATTGAAGTCACAACTAAGTCCTAGATGAACTGCAGCATGTTGCCCGAATCTGCAGCATGTCCAGCGCATGTATCTCTGATATCCGAGCTGCCGTGGCTAGGGCAAGCAGGAACAGAGTCTTCTGTGTCAGCAGCTCGAGTGTAGTCTGGTCTAGAGGTTCATAGGCATCACTGGTTAGATGACGTAGAATTACATTCAGATCCCAGGCTGGAGCTCTGAACTTCTTTTGCTGGTCCTCCAGTTTAAAAGATCTCAGCAGAGCAAGTAATTCTGGTACTTTCGTCAACTTGATGCCTGTTTTCATGGTAATGACTGTACTGATAGCAGCGAGGTATGTAGATAATGTCGAACCTTTCAGATGTCTGGTCTCTCTAAGATGACACAGGTATTCCGCCACTTGAGGATGAGTAGTTTTCATCGCAATGAAGCCTTTCCGCCTTGCATAAGTCTCAAACTTCAGCCATTTGTAATCATACAGGTTACGAGTAGATCTGAGTAACGCTAGCGTTACTGCCTTGGCTGCCCATCGGAGTATCCTCTTTTCTTCAAACATGTTTGATACGGTCCACACGTATAGCTGGAACGCTGTCGGGTTCCCGTGGACTTGCTTGGTGTGCGGATGTATGAGTAGGTTCGGCCAATCTGGTAACTTGATTGTTGGACTTCCGAGAACTTCTATTAGGTCTAGGAACCATACTCTCGCTGGCCAGTATGGCGCGACCAAAGTCAGTTGTAGAGCCTGTGTCTGTTTGATCTTCAAAAGAACTTCTGGTAGTAATATCGGGGGTGGAAACTCGTAAGCATTTAGTCCTTCCCATGATATGCTCAGTGCATCTGTTGCCCAGGCTTGAGGATCTGGAACTGGTGAGACAAATGTCTGTAGTTGTTTGTTGAACCTCGTGGCAAACAGGTCTATGCAAGGGGATCCTATTTCCCTTATGATGAGCCGGAACGCTTTTGGATGGAGCATACATTCCGTAGGTGACGGGTGCAGTGGTCAGGAGAGAGCATCTGCAAGTACGTTCTTGGCTCTGGGTATGTGACACGCCTTTATCCAGATGTTTGCTTCCTCCGTGATGTGGAACAACTGGAATGTAAGCTGTAGCAGGCTTGGAGACCTTGTGGATCCTTGCCGATTTATGGAGAATGCCACTGTAGAGTTGTCCGTGTGGACCATCAGCATTTTGTTTTTCAGCGAGCTCGACCATAGTTGTAAGGTGTTGATCATGGCTTTCATCTCCAGCAGATTGATGTGAAGATGCTGCTCTATTTTGGACCACCTGCCTGATGCAACTTGATTGTTGAGATGCGCACCCCAGCCTTGTATCGAAGAGTCTGCGTAGTGATGTGTGTCGAAGGCCGGCTCTTATAAATAGGTCCCTCCGCAAACGTTCGACCACCACAGTAGATAGCTCTTGAGGTTGTCTAGCAGCAAGATTGGGTTGACGCTGTCTAGATGTTTTGTTAAAAACTGTTGCAGCGGTCTTAGTTGTAACGTTCCTGTGCGAGTCAAGTCCTGCGCTGAGGTTAGTAGACTGAGTAGAACTTGCCATGATCGTAGTCTTAACGGAGAGATGACTGCTAGTGGAATCATGGCTTGTATCTTGCCCCAACGATCTTCTGGGACGACAATACGATTCTGTGTTGTGATAAACCTTATCCCCAGAAATTGTAGACTTGTTTTGGTTCCAACTCTGACTTCATTAGGTTCACCAGCCATCCTAGTTGAGTGAACAACTTGATCGTGAAGTTCAGCTGTAGTTTGAGTTGACTGGCATCTTGGTGAACCTGAATTCCGTCGTCCAAGTAGAAGGCATTGCGTTAGACCTCGATGATGTAGATATGCGACTATAGGCTTGGTTATTCGTGTGAATAGCCACGGAGCCGAAGATATTCCAAACGGTAGGACGTTCCATTGGAAGTGCTACCCTCTGAATAGGAATCGTATACTTTCTTGATTCCGGATGTATGGGGATGTGTAGGTACGCATCCTGCAGGTCTATGCTGGCCATGTAATCTGCTGGACGGACGAGTAGTCTTAGTTGAGGTAGGTGGATCATTCTAAACCTGTCTGGTTTCAGTAGATAGTCTTTGTTGAATTTGCGCATGTTGTAAATCAGTCTGAACTTCTCCTTGGAGTTCTTCTTGGGTACTAGAAAAACTGGGGAGTAGAAGCCTGGAGTGAGATGATGCTGATCTATTATCTCTACCGCCTCCTTCATAAGTAGTGATTTGATGGCTTGTTGTAGTTTGTCTGCCTGCTCCTCTGCATAGTCGAAGACCATCTGGCTGAGGGTTAGCGGAGGTGTGGCCTTGAGTTGTACTCTGTATCCTTCTCGTAGTCCTTAGGAGACATAGTCGTCTTCTAGTATTCCCCAATTTTTCCAGTACCTTTGTAGACGTCCACCCACTGTCGATGGTTTTACAGGAACGGCTGGGGGTGGAAGACTCCAGTCGTTCCGAACCCTGACATCAACGTCTAGTTCCTCTGGATCCTCTGGGAGTGCAGCCTGTCCCTGAGTTTCCTCTGTAATTTCCGGATGGGCGACGAAAAGATCCTTTGCCGCCTCTGAAGCTGGAGTCCTTTTTCTCCTTTGCCTTCTGTATGCCGGAATATTTGGACTTGCTGTTATACTTTTGCGAAGTATGATGGATGACGTTGGCCAGAGTATCTATGGATTTTATCATCATGACTTCTCTAGATTCGTGCGTAGCTTCCTTAGCTGCATCGTCTATTTGTCCTCCAAAGATAGTAGGCGCCTCCCATGGAGCTCTCAGTAGCGGTTGGGTGAATCTGTCACTCCATGAACAGGATGCAAGTAGCCCTTGTCTGCGTAGTAAAGTGAGCTATCGGTAGGTTCGCACAGGTCCGCAGGTCCGTAGGTTTGCGCACAGTGTCGGTAGATGAGAGGCTTCGCTGAGCCTTCGCTTCTTCCTCGAACCTGCGTTCCATCATGGTCATCATCTGGTTGGTGAATTATCTCATAAATTCACCCGGATCAAAGTTCTGCGTTGGTTGAAGCTGCTGCGGTGTAGAATGATGAGTTGTGTGCCTCGACTTCACTGCGTTGAGAGGTAGGTGGTAGTTCGTCAAACAGCTGGCCTGCTGTGACCGTTGCAGGAGACGATCTAGTAGTTGTAGAAGTCAATTGAGTCGCTGATCTCATAGGTACTTCGGGTAAAGTAATGGGGGATCATCAAAAACGTCTACTTCATGTGGAGGTAATATCTCTTCGTTGAAGGATTTCTGATGCGTGACTTACTAGCCCGCCTAGATTTACCCTCCGATCTGGTAACAGATGCTTTCTTCTGAGATGTAGAAGAGGATGACGTCTTTTTCTTAGCTTGAGTCGGAGTCAACTGCGTTGTAGTTGATCTCTTCTTAGCCCCCGTACCAGCAGACTGCCCCTGCAACGTACTCAACATAGCACCAGTATTATGAATTGCAGCAGTAGCAAGCAACATACGGTTTGCAGGCTGATCTCCTGTTTTATCAGCCGTGACTTGAGATGACTTCCTCACCCGATCCATGGCATGTCTATAGATATAAGACAAATATTGATTAAATTGTAGATTTGATAAATCAACACAATAAGTACAGCGCAAGCTGGAAGAACATGGTTTTATGCACGAAGGGCATTGGGGCTGAGGATCAGCCACGGATAACCTGTGCCTGCAAACACTGCAAGATTTCATGAAATGTAAACAAAGTTACATAACGATGAAATTATGACACAAATACAAATAATTTTTACATATAATACAAAGTAGTTATTGACAAATCCATACACAGCGTAATTTTGAAGAATAGGACCTAAAAAGGATATAATGCCGTATATGGGACTCCAGTGCTCGTCCAACCATCCACTTGGGCGAAAAGGGAGAGAGTGACAAGTAAGGCTGGTCACATGACTGTTTGCGCGGGAAAGGGCAAAATGGAGGTAACTTGTGGGTGAGTGTAATTTTATGTCCACTTCGGGAACTTCAAGGGATTCAAGTGTTCCACTACCATTCTAAAAGGAAAGGGAGATAAGCAAAAGATCATAAGTCAGGATAAGAAAAAAATGATATATATTCCATGACTAGGTGTCACTCTATACCTATGATGGTAAGCTCTGCCAGGATGACCGAGGTGAGGGACGTCATCTTGGATATGCTGCCGTTCAACATACTCAGCGTCTGTCTCAGCATCAGAACATCCTAAAACAGAGGAAGATGCAGAGTATTAGTAAATACTTCTAGGCCTTCTAGGACAGAATACTTTACCATTACCACCTCCACATGTTGTATTGTTTGTTTGATGTTTAGCACTGCACTTGGCAATATCCCGGCTATATGTGGCGGTCTGGTAGTAATTGAGTCTGGACCAGACAAACCAGTGATCAACATCATGAGCATTGAAATATGCATTTAGGATACGATGACGTGTTGACCAAATCAGCAAGTCTGACCACCCGATCACATTACCTTCACATATTGACTTACATGGAGTAACGCGACAGTTGTCTCTGGTATATACATGCACACACGCACGCACGCACGCATGCACACACGCACGCGGGCACGCATACATACACACACACAAGTAGAGACACTGGTCAGACTTGCCGACTTGGTTGACACACATCACTGGAACCCAATTGTGAAGATCGATGCTCATGTTGTTGATCACTGGATTGTCTGGTCCAGACTTGATTATTTACAGACAGACGCCATATAGCTGGAATATTGCTGAGTGCGGTGCTAAACAACAAAACAACCAACCCTGTTGGCTATAACAGCTCTAGGTCCATTTAAGTCTGCTCTTGTGACAAGCAGGAAAATACAGAAAAATTTCATTGCATAGAAAAACCAGTAATACATGTCAAGGGGAAAGACTGAGCTACCTTCATGGCTGTCCGTAGGTCGGTGGACTTCTCCTGCAGCCGGAGGGTCAAACCTCGGACAAAGAACAGGATCATCTCACACTGTGTGGCGTAGTTGACAACCACTGCCAGGTTGACAGCGTTGAGAACCATACGACCAACCAACTCAAACACAAACAGGATCCAGTGACACTCACGTCTGCAAGATAGGATTCATATGATACAGATTAACTGAAGCAGCTCATATATACATAATCACATAAGATCCAGTGACACTCACGTCTGCAATAATAGGATTCATATGATACAGATTTACTGAAGCAGCTCATATATACATAATCACATAAGATCCAGTGACACTCACGTCTGCAATAATAGGATTCATATGATACAGATTAACTGAAGCAGCTCATATATACATAATCACATAAGATCCAGTGACACTCACGTCTGCCATTTTTGTGACTTCATGAGTGTGTTTGGTTCAATAGTAAAATAGATTATTGAATATCATGGTGTGCGAGGTTCATGTGGTAGGAAAAATTGAGGTGATGTATGTCTAAGATGTTTTATCACCTCTCCTTTTTTCACTGTTTATTAATGACGTTGAATCATATCTAGCGACTAATGCCTGTGATGATGTAGAAATTGATGATATATTTGGACTTATTTGGGTTTTTGTACTGATGTATGCTGATGACATGGTCTCATTTGCTGAAAGTCCGGATGAGTTACAGCATAGCACTAATATGGTGTAAAGTGGAAGTTAAAATTAAATATCGAAAAGACTAAAGTAGTCGTATTAGGCTCTGGAACTGCAAGTGTTAATTTTCAAAAAGATTTTCTTGGTGATCTACCTTTGAGCATGTCTGATACTTATACTTACCTTGGAATACATTTTCATAAGAATATATTTTCAAAACATTGCGGTAATGTTATATTTAAGTCGCAGTTAAGTAGATTGACAGAAATGTGTTTTTCCATGTAAAATGATAATTTAATGTCGAATTAAAGACAATTCATAATGAAGAACAGACATGAAAATGAGTAAATAACTGTATTTATATTTGTATGTGTGCCCAAATGAAAGAGCGTCCACGGTAATCCTGTTTTCTTTGTAATTTGTCAGAGCCTCCGGGTGAGGAGCACTGTGTTCATTCAGCCATAACATTGCATTGCAAGTACCGCGAAGGCTACGCTCATTGAACCGAGAAGCGTTGCGATTTTAGCCTTCCCGGCCATGAACCGTTTTGTACAGCATATTATCATGCTTGAGTGAGTTGACCAGAAATGTCAACAATTCTAAGAGGTACATCAAGTCTCTACTTGACCCTATCTCCTGGAAGATGGTGCGAGCCCTGGGAAGTTGGGTATTGCACAGAATTTTTCATATTAAGACCCTGTAGACAGAGGGTATATTGAAGCAGCACCCATATTGTCCCACCGGCCACTAGGAAACATCTTTTACACAAAAAATATATCTCCATATATAGACAAGATTTCTGCTTTTCGAAACTGGTTTTGGATCAACTCTCAATGCATCATTTTCTAAACGGTAAATACCGGTAAACCCGGTTATTACCAAGAATTTGGAAAATATGTTACACTTTACTCTGACTGGTAATACTGATTTTATACTCTGTCTGGTCAAAAACATCTCCATATATAGAGAAGGAGTGACAATGCTGCTAAAAACAGCTGTTGGTAAGGCTCAAACAATGTTCTACCAAGAATTTGGGAAATGCTCTTGGTCAATCAGAGGTTTAAAATTACAATAACCACATCTGATTGATAAATACTCAATTCTGATTGGTCAATTAGAGGTTTCAAATCACAATAACCACCTCTGATTGATAAATACTCAATCTGATTGGTCAATCTGAGGTTTCAAATCACAATTAACACCTCTGATTGAACCAGCTGACTCTATGACTGAAAAACTGAAAGACTAATGGATCATCATCAGTAATCACACTTTTTTAACTTCATCTTTACTATTATACCTCAGTTTCCTTATCATTTTCTTCTGTGAAGCTGTTCGGCTTTGCAAAGGAGTTGCTTGTAAGAAAACCTGGACAAAAAATACAACAAAAATCCTCAGAGCATAAAGTATGATAACAAACCAAGACTTGAATTAACACTTCATAATGGTTTACAGTTTTTGTCCTCATCCAGGGACTACATATCAGTATACCTTAACCAGTCCCTGGATTCATTCCCATGACTGTCAGATCCGTAGTGCTGGTATTGGCATACAACCTGTGATATGATACATCACGATGCTAACATTTTAGTCACGACGATATATTGCCAGAGTATTGTGCACTGAAGCTGCTATACGATACGAATCCCGATACAAGGGTGGCGATAGAATACATATCACGATACTGAAAATCTTTAATTCTAACACCAACTATAAAACACCTTAAGATTAAAACAAAACCATTTTAAAGTATTTCATCAAATTCCACCAGCGTCTTTCAAGGTTCATTCGGAAACGAGATAATTATGTTTATCACGAACTTTGTGAATACTAAATAACATGTGAGCTCTATGTCTGACACAGTTCTTGACGCATGAATTTCCGAGAAAACATTTACTTAAGAAGGGAAAATAAGTAAGCATACATTTTAATCATCAAACAAATTAAGTCTTTTGTGTTGACAGATATCGCGATTTGGCAATATTCAAAGTTAAAGATCAATGTATCGTGGCCCATTTGAAGTATCGTGATCGGGATACACGACAATGTAAAACTTTGTATCGATTCACTGTATCGGCGGCCCATGGATCGATGCATTGATGCATATCGATGAATCGTCACACCAGTACAGATCAGTAGGTTTACCCAAATGTCAGATATAGGGGCTGTGTCACTGATAAGGGCATATGCATGATCAATGTCAAGGATACAAAAGTTAGTGTCTGCAGCATATGAACAGGATTTCCAAAACAGCAGACAAGTAACGAAACTTGAAATAATTGTAACCATATTTTACTGTATCAGGGTACATACCTTCTCCATCAGGGCATACAGATGTTCGTTGTCTTGGATACGGAAATATATAAATCCCATGATGTAAGCTATGAAGTGCAGGAAGTTTGGGATGACGTATGTGGTGACGACATGTTCGCATGCTATCGGGGGGCTGGATGGCTCGGTCAGGTTGGCTTCAATGGTCTCTGCCGGGTCAATGGGAAAGAATGGAATGTATTCTGTTGTGCTGTTGGTCACGTTAGACGGTGGCGTGGGCCTTATTGTTGTTGTCGTTGTAGTTTGGGAATTCTGAAAATATCGACAAAACGAAAGGTTAAAAACAATCAACTCCAGCATATAGAATGACCAACATCAAAATGATCAGAATCATGTTATGGTGAATAAGTGAGACAGATTTTATGACACACTTTGCAATGAGCACTGGACTAGGCCAAATAAAAAAAATGTTGTAGTTCCGATTACACCTCTTTAAAGTTTAGGGTAGGTAGGTAAGATTTTTTTTACATTTCTCTTTAGAAGTAAAGTACAAACTAATAACTCATTGTGTAACTGTTATTCAATCAAGTTTGCGGTCATCATGTCGACTTTCTCTATCAGAATGACCGATGTCCGTTGGTGCCAGGAAAAAACAATGGCATCTGAAAGCTTATTTTATTCATACCACTTAAAAAAATAGGGTCGGCACCAGAATTCAAGGGTCGGTCGAGTAATCGGAACCACAACATTTTTCTTAGGCCCTGGGACGTCAGCATGGTGACACACCATCAACCAAGTCATATGTTGGACAGGGAGATTGCTCTCATACAGAAATCTTGTGTATTTCATGCAATCTGTGTTGAAAATACTCAGGTTAATTTTGATTTTATGATTGGGTGATTTTATGCATTGTCAACCGATTCTCATGATTAGTAACACATACAGAAAAGCACTGACACTTGGATACCTATACAATTGGTTGAAAATCAAATTTTGCATCAATACTTTCTCAATTATTTACATTCAGTTGTCCAACCATGCTAAGTCGTTACTTTCATTATCATTGGAAAACCCATTTCTAAAAATAGAATAGCTTATGCAAATCATTTCAGTAAAGTTTGTTCTGACTGGCTGTCAGTTTTCTGTTAACCAAAGAGAGTAGGGGCGGATACAGCTTTTTGAGAAAGAAGGGGAGCACACTCTTGAGAAAGAGGGGGTGCACACTTCATTTTTATGAGAGTTTCAATGGTCATTAACATAATTTCAGGACAAAAGAGGGTGTGCGCACCCCTGCACCCCCCTTCTGGATCCACCTAGGAAAAGTACATGTTATTTTAGCATGTACACATGTATAATCTGTCAGTGAGTGCAACATCACATGCATGTGAGTGAGTGAGTGAGTGAGTGAGTGAGTGAGTGAGTGAGTGAGTGAGTGAGTGAGTGAGTGAGTGAGTGAGTGAGTGAGTGAGTGAGTGAGTGATGTTTTTCGCTTCTTTTAGCAATATTCCAGCAACATCACAGAGGGGAACACCAGAAATGGGCTTCACATATTGTACCCATGAGGGGAATCGAACCCGGGCCTTTGGCGTGACAAGCAAACGCTTTAACCAATAGGCTACCCCACTAGACAATGGAGGTGGTCAAATATACATGTTGTACATGGCGGACCTCCTACCTGTGTGTCCTTCTTGACGTCCAGCTTCCACTCGCAGGCCACCATCTCGTAGATGTATGTGTACAGCAGCAGCAGGATGATGAGCACCGGGTAGACCACGTTCAGCACCTTCCATCTCCGTCCACCCGAGTTGATAGACTCACGACCAAACCCTCGCCACCCAATCTGAATACATTCAATACATGGAAACGTAAGTGGCTGGTCATTTATCACAGCGGGGATTGGTATTAGGATCTTATCATATTTTGCTGCTTCTCCATCCTTAGATTTGATGCAACATTTATTCATCCTATCCAGAGGTACAGATAAGCTGTGTATCTAAGGGACCGTTCATAATTTATGGCAAGGGGGGGTGATGATGATTGTTATTCAGAAGCATGTACAATGTGAATGACCCCCCTAAAATGTACGTACAAAGTAAGTGACCCCCCCTTGCATATCATGTACAAAATCAATGACCCCCCTCCCCCTTCCCATATTTTTTAAGCATAATGTTGTAGTATTTTTATGTACAAAATTGCTGACCCCCAGTACATGTGTACAAAATGCTGACCCCCTTCCTCGCCAGAACAAAATGGTGACCCCCACCCCTTAAAATCATCATCACCCCCTAGCCATAAATTATGAACGGTCCCTAAATTACGCAAATATTTATGTGAAAACTCAATTCCTATTAAGTCTATTGTGTACAAGTACGCTTAAATTTTTGTAAATACTCAATATATTTGATCTTACATGCGTATACACAAATATGTTAAATCTTAGCTTGCATACCAGTGGATAGATAAAATAACCGAGGTATATTGAGAGGTTCTATGTCAACACATGAACTTGGCAACTTGCAGTCTTTCTTATCGTTCCTCATTTTACAGATCAAATATAAATAACAAACATGTAAACCAACATTTAAACCTGATTATATTTTTACAATTAACGGAAAATGGCAAAATACCCAATTGAGTTTGAGTGAGGTGGGTACAATTTATTTGGTTACTCAAAGGAAAATTATGATACCCAATTGAGATGAACACAAGCAGGTACATAACTCAATGACCCCAAAAGTTATCTGTAGCTCTGCCCATGTGGGCAGTAATGGGACACAATCATAACATTGTGCAAACGAAACAGGCCCAGATTAAGGTGAGTAATGTTTTACGCTGCTTTTAGCAATATTCCAGCATTATCAGGACACCAGAAATGGGCTTCACACATAGTGCCCATGTGTGGAATCAAACCTGGGTCTTCAGCGTAACGAACAAACACTTTAACCACTAGGCTACCCCACCACCCCCACAGATTAATACCTCACTCACGATGATCAAGGATGCTTCCTGTTGAGACATGCATGCAAGTATGATGTTTACATTGTGGTTTTACGAGTCAGGAAACTGCATCAGTTGTTACAATGACATACTTTCTAGAGTTTAATTTGATGTTTCATCTTTTATGAATACTGATTAACACAGTGATTTGTCTCCTGAGTGTATCGATCATTGCTGATGCAAGCAAACACTAAGACATGTTCATTAGTTTCTTCTCCATTACTACTTCAATTCCCTCTAGTAAATGGCCAGTAGATGTCTAGACTTGGCCCCGATTTCTCGAAACAAACTTAAGTCTGAGTTTTGACTTAAGTTAAGAGTTTTTACTCAAATTTGAGAAAATGCATTTCCCAGAATGAACTGAAATTGATAGTAAACTCAAACATAGTGGACAATTTGAGTTTGGTGGATGGATTACTTCAGTTGTTTGAGCTTTTTTATTTTAAAAATGCAGTTGAGTTAAAAATAATGTGCTGTGCCTTGATTGTTAGTGCTATGAGCATACCTAGTGTGGACTTTGGCGCTATATAAATGGACACATTATTATTATTATTATTAAAAATTCAGCTGTTTCAAAGTGTCAAACTCAGTTTGAAATTTGAGTAAAAACTGAAGTTTGTTTCGAGAAATCGGGGCTTGGTCGTGTAAGTTTGGCGTTTATTGCCACACTTAGCAATATTCCAGCCTATATCGTGGTGGTCTGAAAGTGGTGACTTCACTGACATAGTAATCACTTCACTCACGATTTTACTAAAATTTACTGAAATGATACTGAATGAAACACAGAACAAATTTGTGGAAATGCAAAAATACCAACTGCAATAAAAACAACAATCCCATATCTATTCTGCATTACATAATACTGTACTGCAGTTGAAATAATTACATAATCATATGTCATTCAAACACGATCAAGAAATAATGTAATGGACATCCGGAAGTAGTACTCAACCCAGCGTTTATATGCAGTTCCTTGGCATTAGGATTAAGATGTGATAAACTACATCTTGGATATATCTCATGGAAGTCATAAACATCCACTAGAGCTGGGTTAAGGGGGCTATTTTATTGACTCGCATTTTCTGTGATGTAACAGCAGTTATATTAGCTACAGAGACACTTAAATTTCAAGATTTACAATAAGGCCATACCAATTTTATTTCTTGTTTTACAGATTTTTGTCCTCAGAAAACCTAACGGCAGGAGGGAAGAAAACATCACCAGTCAAAGTAATATTCATTGTAAAGACTAAAAGCATTTTACTTTTGGCAATTTATGAAGTGTATATGGGGCAAAAAAAACAATCTGAAAAAGATTTTCGTGTAAGTTTACATTTTTGGCCATTATTGAATTTTTTGTTTTGAGCGGGGAAAATTAATTTATATTTTTGTTTCTTATTCCTGAAAGAATACGACTGGCGGATCCGTAAAACAAGAAATAAAATTGGTCTGGCCCAATCAAGATTTTGTAAGAAATGTTGTGATGTGTTTCTATGACTCTAATGTAAAATCAAAAATACTGATTAAGTTGCCTCTTACTGGGAAGTTTACTGCTTAACTTCATAAATAATAGGTCCGGTGGGGTAGCCTAGTGGTTAAAGCGTTCGCTCGTCACGTCGAAGACCCGGGTTCGATTCCCCACATGGGTACAATGTGGGAAAACCATTTCTGGTGTTCCTTGCCATGATATTGCTGGAATATTGCTAAAAGCAGCATAAAACTAAAGTCACTCACTCACTCATAAATAATAACTTTTGGAAACTGATACAGACGTATATAAAGAAGTGTTATAAGGGTAGGTGAAACATGCATCACATCATCAACGAATACAATATGTTATAACAGATACAACATCGTTGAACAGTAACACCCCTACACCTGAAATCTGGTCTCATCTCAAGAACCCATGAAGATCTGGGTCAGAATTGATCTTCAGCAACCCAAGAGGCGACTAATGGGATCGGGTGGACAGGCTCAACTTGGCTGACGTGTGTCATTGTATCCCAGTTGCGTAGATCGATGCTCATGATGTCGATCACTGGATCACTGGCGTTAAACAACAACGAACCAAACCAAAAAAATCTCATCTCATGGTCAAGTTTCAAGTTTAATTCCAACATGGCAGCCATTGTGGCCAATGAATTCACTTTTTCTGACCAGTATTTAGAAAACCCATGAAAATTTCATTCAAGATGGCGTCTTAAATAGGAGGTCATGTCAGGTGAACTTTCAGTTCAGCCAATCAGTACTGAAGCTTCTAAAGTCTTGGGATTGGGATGAGTAAGCTGACAAGTATATCTGATTTCTGCATCTCAAAAACAAACATTAACAAGGAAATCCAAACGCAAAACAATATGCTGCCAAATGATATTATTGTGGATACTTTAGGCAACCGGTTGTGTTGTGAACATCATGTTATCTGCATCCCAGATTGTTAGAGATGGTTATTTCTATTCTGAGGCAGTTTGATTTGTTTCAGATTGACTGACTGACTGAGTTTGGTTTTACGCTGCTTTTAGCAATATTCCAGCAACATCACGGCGGGGGACACCAGAAATGGCTTCACGCATTGTACCCATGTGGGGATTCGAACCCGGGTCTTCGGCGTGACGAACCAACGCTTTAACCATTTGGCTACCCCACCGCCCTTGTTTCAGATTGAAATGGCTGTTGACTCAGGGTAACTGATGCTTCCTTCGTAGAGGTGTTCGCAGGTGTTTATGAAGGCGGCTTCTTGTTGGAATGAAAGATCTGATTTTATTGAGGGGGAGTTGACGAGATATTTACTTACAAACATGAGCAGCATCCAATATGGCCGCAGGACCAACTGTTTGCACCTCCTGAGTGCACTGGTCGTCAAGTTGAGACTTCCTTCTCCAATGTCAGATATCTATAATCATAAAACATTAAACACATAACAATTATAGAAATCAAATCAACAGGAAGACAAAGTCATCAATATCCCCTGCAATGGAAGAAATACTCTTCATGAATATGTAAACTACAGTGAAACCTGCCAACACCGGCACCTGTCTAATTCTGGCACACTGTCAAAACCAGCATAAAATTTTGGTCCCGCCATTTTACAACGATATTATGATCATTAAAACATTGTCTAATCTGGCACCTGTCTATTCCGTATTGCGGCATGACTTTCTGGTCCCAACAAGCAATTTTAACTGTAATTAACACTGTCTTAACCGACATGGGTATGAGCAGTCCAATCAAGGACCCATAATCTAATACATTCCTCTCGGGACGCTAGATTGAAAGACTGACGGGTGTAAATGGCAGCCATGTTGGAAAATGATCGTCACTGTCTAATCCGGCACCCTGTCTAAATCCGGCTTTAAATCTCGGTACTGTGGCGTGTGGTTTTAGACAGGTATCACTGTAGTTGGTTCTTGAGTGTGTGAGTGAGTTTAGTTTTCACCGCACTCAGCAATATTCCAGCTATATGGCGGTGGTCTGTAAATAATCGAGTCTGGACCATAGTTGGTTCTTGAATACCCCCAAAGTGGAAAGAGAGTATTGAAATGTTTTAAAGTTCTGCTCCGGAAAGGAGCACTACCACCAATTTCAAAGTAAAACTTGTTACCATGGAAACACAAAGCTATTTTACTCAGAAATCAAAAACAACCAAAAGACACAGACCTATCTTTGTGCCAAGTTTGGTGAAGAAATACTGAACAGTTTTTATGTTCTGTTCTGCAAAAGGCGAATTTACAGGGACAGATGGACAAACGGACACATGCAGGGAGTCAGTTTTAATACCCACCACAAAACATGTTGCAGGGGATGATAAGTTTACTACTAGACTTGTCTGTTTAGTAGGGCTGCACAATATAACCGGTTTACCTGTATTTACCGGTTCAGACATGAAAACGATACGTATTGCGATACGCTGATCGAAATCGGTATTTTGACATGTATTCGGAAAACTTCGTAACACTCGGAAATCTTCGGATATTTCCGTTTTTGAATTGTTCTTTTCCCTGTTTCATTAGTGCCAAATGTTACTTACATTATCATTTTGTCATGATTAAAAGTTTTTATTAAAGGTTAATCAATCATAGTGATTTTGTTGTGTTTTTGCTTAATAATCAGGCATTACCACGATTATAAGTAGTTTTTGTTAAAAAAATAATTCTTGCAATATATTGCAATACATATCACAATATATGCTTTTGCATCACAATATATCACAATATCGAAATTCTCTGCAATACCCACCACTACTGTTTAGTAAGTATCGTCTGAGAAATATTCAACAGTTTGGGAGTTATGCCCTTGAAACAGAAAACAGACGAGAGGAGTGACAGATTGATGTTAAACAGACAGAAGGACCTACAGACCTACAGGCTGATCACTGATCTCCTGTGTTGGAAACCTGAAAAATCCACCAACTGAGATGCTGAATATGTGTGTATTTCTGATGAGAATAACAAAATCAGGTAAATGTACCATAGAATCTGCTGCTTTGATAAACAAAATAATTCAAACTGTCAGACTATTATGCATACCCCAAGTAATCAAGTTTGGACCAGACAATCCAGTGATCAACATCATGAGCATCAATCTATGCAATTGGGATACGATGACAACCGTCAACCAAGTCAGCGAGTCTAACAACTCAATTCCATTAGTCTTCTCTTATGACAAGCATGGGTTGCTGAAAACCAATTCTAACCGAAATCTTAACGGGGTTCAACTGTTTGAGTCCATTAACAATTTATATGCTTATGGACATGTTAATATTCATCCAGTAAACAAAATATGCCACTGTGTTGAAACACATCAGAATGTGTAAAGGAAATTTCAGAAACAAAATGAAGGGAAACCCCTACTTCTGGCATACTTAAACATTTGCCTAATTGAATTCATTAAGCAAAAAGACACCTGCTAATATCCATGAACGTTCAGCCTCACTGGCCTTGTTGATATAGGAGAGTTCTCAAAAATACATAATCCAGTGTGATACAAATATCTGACGTTTGTATTTCGATGAATATTGTGACGGATGTTTCAAAACAGCAATCCCATCATTAAACAGTATCAGGCAAGTTGTGAAGCCTTATCACCTGATCAGTTCTGTACCTAGAAAATGAGTGAGTGATGAGTGAGTGAGTGAGTGAGTGAGTGAGTGAGTGAGTGAGTGAGTGAGTGAGTGAGTGAGTGAGTGAGTGAGTGAGTGAGTGAGTGAGTGAGTGAGTTTAGTTTTACGCCGCACTCAGCAATATTCCAGCTATATGGCGGCGGTCTGTAAATAATCGAGCCTGGACCAGACAATCCAATGATCAACAGCATGAGCATTGATTTGCGCAATTGGGAACTGATGACATGTGTCAACCAAGTCAGCGAGCCTGACCAGAGTTAGTATGAAGTGATGCAAATCTCAGATGGAAGTTTGATGAAATCATAACATATATTGTGATAAATCATAACATATATTGTGATAAATGATTGACATCAGACATGACAATCATCTAAGTCAGGGATTGACATTGTTACCAATGATTGACATATCTGAAGAGAAGTGATACAAATCTCAGTGATGTAATTCTTGACTTGACATTGGCCTGAGTGACAGTGAGTTCAGTTTATCAATATTCCAGCAATATCATGGGGGACACCAGAAACTGGCTTCACACACTCTACTTATGTCAGGAATCAAACCCTGGTCTTTGGAGTGACGGGCGAACGCTTTAACCACTATGCTACCCCACCACCCATGGAATCATCCAAGTGAAAGAGCCTGACAACCTATCCATTACCTCTCAAGACTAGCAGAGGTTGTCAAGGAACTATTCTATCGCAGAATCCCGTGGGTAGGTATGGGAGACACTTACTGACATCTGCAGAGACAACTGACTTTCAGGCAAACCAAATCCATTACTCTGGACCTATTCTGTCCCAGAATCCCATGAGTAGGTATGGAAGACACTTACTGATATCTGCAGACAACTGACTTTCAGGCAAACCAAATCCATTACTCTGGACCTATTCTGTCCCAGAATCCCAGTGAGTAGGTATGGAAGACACTTACTGATATCTGCAGACAACTGACTTTCAGGCAAACCAAATCCATTACTCTGGACCTATTCTATCCCAGAATCCCATGAGTAGGTATGGGAGACACTTACTGACATCTGCAGACAACTGACTTTCAGGCAAACCAAATCCATTACCCTGGACCTATTCTGTCCCAGAATCCCATGAGTAGGTATGGGAAGACACTTACTGATATCTGCAGAGAACTGACTTTCAGGCAAACCAAATCCATTACTCTGGACCTATTCTGTCCCAGAATCCCATGAGTAGGTATGGAAGACACTTACTGACATCTGCAGAGACAACTGACTTTCAGCCTCATCCATGCAGGTATGGCTGGCTGGCATGTTACATCCACTACCATCTGTGTGGTACGAGTACTCACTACGCGTTGAAGAAACTGATACAGTTATCAGTGTAGGTCAATGTCAAATCAATGAGAGCCCTGCTCCATATCTGTTGTCTGTGCCTTGTCTCATGGCTGAGTGGTGTGCAGCTTACGTCATATATCTCGTCATATATCTTGCCAAGAACTGTGGTCAACTTGACCCGATGGATTTCAGATGTCATAGTGGACCGAAAAACAACTTGCTCTCGACCTAGACCTGAGTGAGTGACCCGCTTTTATCAATATTCCAGCAATATCATGGCGATCAACGGCATGAGCATCAATCTACACAATCACGCTATAGGAGTATGATGACCCGTTATCATTCAAGTGATCATCCATTGAGTCACCTGTTGTCAACTGTCATGGATGATGTTACTTTATACTACTAAGAAAATTTCTTATGGATTATATTCTTTGCATTACATACTATAGCAATGCCACTTGTACCATGCTAGTATAATCCAGAAACCTCCTGCATCAGCCAATTTTGAAAAATTGAGTGAGTTTGGTTTTACGCCGCTTTTAGCAATATTCCAGCAATATCATGGCGGGGGACACCAGAAATGGGCTTCACACACTGTACCCATGTTGAGAATTGAACCCAGGTCTTCAGCATGACCAGTGGACGCTTTAACCACTAGACTACCCCACAGCCCCTTGACCTATATGTACATTTTGAGGCAAACAGGACAAACAACATGGCTGTGCACAGTCTGGAATTTTGTATTGCAGTGGATTGGGCACTTAGGTCTGTATTGACACACATTATTATTATTATACTGATATTTATATATTATTATACTATATTTATATAGCGCACATATCCAGGCAACTAGTGCTTGCTCAAGGCGCTGGTATTTTTTCCCTCGATCATTGGATGTCAACCTCAACAGCACACTGTGTTATCAATCTCAACTCCCTGGGCAGTATGCAACTCTTGCAGCCACTAGACGCACCAAGTTATTGTGGCTTTCTCATCCTAACGAGGTACCCATACAGTACTTTGTCCAAGTTCACTGCATATTGGTGTACCCGCAACTAGGTGTTTGCACGTATTCATGTGGCCACCATCTGGTCATATACCAACGGATTCGTGGGTTCTTTTAATATTGCAATATATTGTCATTAACATTATGTTTTGTTTTGTCCACCTTAGAACACCCTATATTTACGCAGAATACAACAGGAAAACACCTTTCTTTTGGTTGGGAACCATAGCTGGACTCCATTTCATGATTTGTTACCATAGTAACGAATAATCAAGGGAGGTAACTGCAGTAAACCTGTTAACCTTGAAATATTATTCGTCTGCGATGAGCAGTTCTAGAGAAAAATTCCTTATTTTGAATTATTGCTTAAATCAAAGGAACACAGAATTTTTTATGTTTTTAAACATAACGCTCATTAGCTTATATTGTCATACTTAGAGATGAAGGTTTGTTTCACAGTTTAACGGTAATACTGCATCAAAGACCGTATTACCAGTATCAAAAACAACTGCATGTTCCAATACCTTTAATGTCCAATACAATGTGTTTAAAAATAATACTGGGAAATAGCTTCTTGCAAATAAGAACTTCATTGATGCGAAAAGCATATGAAAGTGATGAAAAGTCAACTTGCCAAAAGTGAGTGAGTGCGTTTTAGTTTTACACCGCTTTTAGCAATATTCCAGCAATATCACGGTGGATGACACCAGACATTGGCTTCACACATTTGACCCATGTGGGGAATCGAACCCAGGTCTTCAACGTGACGAGCGAACACTTTAACAACTAGGCTACCCTACCGCCCACTTGCCACAAGACCGCCTCCGTGGTGTAGTGGTTAGAGCGTCCGCCCGGAGAGCGGAAGGTCGCGGGTTCGATCCCTGACCGCGTCATACCAAAAGACGTTAAAATATGATACTTGTTGGTCCCTGCCTGGCGCTCGGCATTAAAGGGTACAACAAGGACTGGTTGGCTCTGAGTCAGTATAATGTGTCTGAGTGGGGTATTCATGCTTCACTGCGTCGTATGGTATCTCAGTGGGCTAGCACTATAAAACCGGCTTCAGTCTGGGCTAGTACAAGCAGCCGCACATACACATACACACGCATGCACGTCGTCATATGAGTGAAATATTCTCAAGCCCGACGTTAAACCCAATTTCATCTCACCTCACCTCACTTGCCAAAAGAAGCCACATGGCTCATCATAAAAATATTACTTTGACAGACTGAATAAACATAATAAAATATATAAATATAAAAAAATCACAAATAGTTTCTTAACATGCCATATGCTTTGGAGAACCTAATTTACTCAAACTTATGGTGAAAGAGAAACAGAAATATGTCACATTGCTTTAAAATCTAGTTATCGGTATTATAAAGTTTATATGCTTCCTTGAAAAAGTGTTAAGGATTGTCTCTGTATGTTATTCCGTTCTTTGAGGCATAAATCAAGAAAATAATGGGCAAGCTGTATGGTGAAAGTAGATGGAATTGGAAGGCCTGATTATGATATGAATGTCACCACACATAACCAGATCAACTAATCACAGTGGGTGAGTGAGTGAGTTTAGTTTTACACAGCACTCCGCAATATTTCATCTATATGGCAGCGGTCTGTAATAATAGAGTTGGGACCAGACAATCCAGTGATCAACAGCATGTGTACTGATGGGATATGATGACATGTGTCAGCGAGCCTGACCACCCGATCCTGTTAGTTGCCTCTTACCACAAGCATGGGTTACTGAAGATTAATTCTAACCCGTGTTCTTCACGGGTTCAACTAATCAGAATGAACACAACGAAAATATACTTATCAAATGTTGATAATAATTATAGTATATGTGTTTGTTACCATCTTTCCATACACAGAAAACTATTTTCAAAACATACATGCTTACAACAAACTGACAGATATAACAAACTTTTCTTATATTCCTGGCCACATAATGTATATTTCAGACAATAAGCATATAACTAACTACAATTATAATGAAAATAAATATAGTGTACTTCATGAATCAAGCAGCTACTGAAAAGTGCCAACATTACCTCTACTTTGACTGCACTTGTGGTCAGCGAGGAGGAATTTAGAGTAGACTTCCTCAGAGCCGTACAACTCTTCCTGAATTGTGGCTGGAATGCTGCTTTGAGATTTAAGAGAGGTTGGACTTTTTGATGTTGTCCCCCCTGTGCTGGGGCAGTCGTGGCTGTTGGCTACAGGCATCACGAGGAGGTAACTGCGGTCGTCAGAGAAGGAGCCAGGTATGAAGGGGTCAGGGTCACAGCCCTCTTTGGAGTTTTTCTCCTGTAAACAAAAAGAAAGGTAACTTGAGTGAGGGAGTTGGTGGGTCAGTTTGCTGGGTCAGTTTGGGTTTATGCCAGTGTAAACAGTATTGCATCATTTGGGAGTAAAGCCCGAGGTGGCACTGGTTTTTGACTTCTCAGGGATGACACTCATCACAGCAATTTGCAGCAACTTCAATGATTGGGCTCTGTATCAATGACAGGGTTCCTTTATAGAGAGGGCCATGTATGAGAGACAGCCCTGTTTGAGAGATGGCCCTGTTTGAGAGACAGGACTGTATGAGAAAGGGCCCTGTATGAGAGACAGTCCAATATCAGAGAAGGTTATGTATGATAGATGGCCTTGTGTGACACTCCTGTATGAGAGAGAGCCTGTATGAGAAAGGGCCCTGTATGACACTCCTGTATGAGAGAGGGCCTGTATGAGAGATGGCCCTGTATGACACTCCTGTATGAGAGAGGGCCTGTATGAGAAAGGGCCCTGTATGAGAAAGAGTCCTATATGAGAGATGGCCCTGAATGACTCTCCTGTATGAGAGAGGGCCCTGTATGAGAGGGCCTGTATGAGAGATGGCCCTGTATGACAGACCTGTATGAGAGAGTCCTGTATGAGAGATGGGTCTTGTATGAGAGACAGTCCTATATGAGAGAGAGTGAGTGAGTGAGTGAGTTGGGTTTGTACGAGAGGCCCTGTATTTATTAATATGAGAGGGGACACCAGAAATGGACTTCACACATTGTGCCCATGTTGGGAATCGAACCCAGGTCTTCAACGTGATGAGCGTACGCTTTAACCACTAGGCTACCCACCACCCACTTGCCAAAAGAAGTCCCGTGAGAGAAGGTTCTGTATGAGAGAGGAGGACTTGAAGTGATGCTGATCTTGCAACATCATCAAGGTGAATTTGGGATTTAAACTTGCAGCCATCACAGGTTCTGGATCCTCTATTGGACACAACTTTCCATAATGGATTCAGGCACCCCTGACCCCTGACTCCTAAGATGCCAACACACTGATTCCACTATTCAACCTTGACCATTGATATAAGCCCAACCTGTTTCAAGGGTAAAGCCGGGTTTCCATGTGCAGTGCGCAGCGTGAGTGTGTAAAGCATACAACACTTTATACTACAATAGTAATTTTCTTACGCAGTGCGTGGATACATAAAGTGTCCAAATACGCATCATGCAGCTATACAGAGGACGGAAGTAGGGATTCCCAAGGGGTTTTCCAAATGTTACGTGGTTTTCATTGTGCACACAAGTTGCAAAATGCCAAGGAATACTGAACAATTAATTGAACCCTCCTTCTTTGCATCAGGAGTTCACGCACCCACCACCGAGGCCCTCGTTTTTTCACATAACAGTACAATAAACCTGCACTAATCACATCCTCTGTTATTTCTGTTAGTTCTCTAGCGTTCTTTGAGAAACAAGCTGGCATTGTAGACAGCAATTGTGATCAGTACGATCTCCAGGAAAGGAAGAACTTGATTTAACGCATCACATTGCCTTTATACATGTACACCTGGAATTGGACACTATGCACACATATTACGTACTACGCACTACGCGATTAGGCAGACAATACATACACATGGAAGCCTAGCTTAAAGGTCACATGCAACATAAAACACAACTTTGCAGATTCTGATACCAAT